AAGGGAACCCTAGTGCATTGCAGGTGGGAATGCAGATTGGTGCAGCCACTATGAAAAACTGTGGAGGTTTTTAAAAAATTAAAAATGGAATTTCTTATGATCCAGGGATTCCACTTCTGAGACTATATCCAAATAAACCCAAACACTAACTCAAAAAAAAAAAAAAAAATGCATCCTTATGTTCACTGAAACATTATTTACAATAGCCAAGATATGGAAGGAACCCAAGTGCCCCTCAATAGATGAGTGAATAAAAAAGCTATGGTACATATACAAAATGTAATACTACTCAACCATAAAAAAAGATTGAAATCTTACCCTTTGTGACAGTATAAGACCAAGAGAGTATTACTGTTAGTGAAATAAGGCATACAAAGACAAGGACCAAATGATTTCCCTTACATTTGGAATCTAATGAACAAAATAAACCAACAAATAAAATAGAAACAGACTCATACATACAGAGAACAGACTGATAGTTGTCAGAGGGGAGGGATGTTGGGGGCTGGGTGAAAAAAGTGAAGAGATTAAGCAGTAAAAATTGTTAGTTGCAGAATGTTCACAGAGGTGTAGATTATAGCACAGGGAATATAGTCAATCATATCGTGATGACTATGTTTGGGGCCAGGTGGGTACTTGAAGCAGTGGGGGGAACATTCTGTAAAATACATGATTTTCTAACAACTTTGCTGTATACCTGAAACTAATACAGAATAATATTGACTGTAAACTGTAATCAAAATTTAAAATATATATATATCTAAATAAATGTTTCATATTAATTAAACACTGGTGAAGTATTGCATTAATTGCTTTTTACTTTAATTAAGTGATCTAAACCTCTCAGGCCACAGGTAGAAACATTGGTTTTGTTTTAGCATAAAAGCCTGATCTAGACACCAGTCCTTTTTTTTTTTTTCCCCTTTTTTTTAAACAGGAGTTTCTAATGAAAGGTTTTGCTGATAAAATGAGATTAAGCAAAAAATTCAATGGGTAATATAAAAAACCAAAAAAGCTACAATATGTTTCAAATTTTATTATCGCACTCTCAATAAGTTGTCCCTTTGGTAGGATTTTTATGATTTCCCAGAGAGAAGCGATTTCTCAATGAGTTTTCTCCCTACAATAAAGGTTTTGATCAATAAAGCATTTCTGCTTCATTTATGCTCTCCCCCATAAAACATTCCAAATACAAAGTTAATGTACCTGGAACACCTAATTATCCATAGAAGAAAGTCCAAAGTTGTTTTTTTTTTTAGAGTTATTTAAGCCTGGCCAGCATGCTCAGGGGTTGAGGGTTGACCTATGGACCAGGTGGTAAAGGTTTGATTCCCAGTCAGGGCACATGCCCAGAATGGGGGCTTGATTCCCCGATTGAGGGCTCGATCCCCAATTGGGGGTGTGCAGGAGGCAGCCAATCAATGACTCTCTCATCATTGATGTTTCTGTCTCTCCCCGTCTCTCTTCCTCTCTCTGAAGTAAATAAAAATACATTTAAGAATCATTTAATTCTTCAGGGCTAGTTGTATTAGTATTACCCAGTAATCATAAATAGCAAGATAAAATTGCCAGTGATGGAATCCTAGAGAGGGCCAATGGTGGCAAACCTAAAGGGAAGTTAAGAGAATGAGCATCAGTGTGACATTCAGGCAGCTGTTGGGTGACAAGAGTCAGTAAATGAATCACAAAAATGCCTCAAAGAATGCATAAACTCTACCTAGAGTTTAGTTTCAATTTTCTGTTTCAAAAATATGGAATAAATATAAGCAAGTTGGGATGAGAGCAGAAGGTAACTTATCCTGTTAAACAAGAACTTTGAGATACAGAAACCTAAGAGGCAACTGGAAAACAGCAAAAGCTGTTGAGAAAACCTGAAAGATGAATACACAACATAGGATGTATTGTTGAATGGTCATCAGACTTTTCAGGGAAACAAGAAAAGGCAGTGAAAAACACATTGAACTGGGAAACAAAGACCCAGGTTTTTTCCCAGCTCTGCCAACAGAAAGGGGACCCTGAAACACTGGGCAACATAAACAAGTTCTCTTTTAAAGGAAATAGTTGAGTTAAATGATTTCTAATATCCCTTTGAAGTGTAATGCGTGATTCTAAGCCATGTCTTGGTTACCCAAAGTGACTGCCACCTTTTTATTAATGGCTATGTATATATACCCTAATCTTCATGTTTATACAAATAACTATTAGGAAGATTATCCAAACTGAAAGGAATTCACAGCAAAAGCAATGCATTTTTGACATTATTTTCTCATTTAACTCCTCTATTAATATTAGAATCTTCTTAATTTACTTTTTGTTTATCTTATATTTTTCTTACAAATGATATATACTATTTATTTCCATCTAAAATATAAATGCATAAAATTCAACTAAGAGTATGCAAACCAAAATATTATAATCTTTTCATTCTGGAAATGCAGTCTAAGTAGAGGGTAAATTTTTAGCGTTCATTGAGTTTGATTAGGCTGGTGCTTTCCCAAAACCTTAGCTTGGCAGAGAAGAGGCAGGCTTGAGAGTGGGATGAGGCTGGAGAAGAGAGACAACATTCATAATATTTATTTAGTTTGTCATAAATTCCCAAAGCATAAAACTATCCAAAGGTTAGTAAAATTAACATGGTTAAGGAAAAAGGAATGGTTTGACATCACAATTGTCAATTATTTTTCTGTGCATCACCTTGGATAAAAATACTTAAATTTAGAGATAGAGACATAAGAATAAATATTTTTTAATGTATAGAAAAGAAGCTTTTAAACTTTACCTTCTCCCTCTGAAAGGAGTGAATCATTGCTTTAATAGGAAAGCCCAAGTCAGTATTAAGCTCCTTTTTGCATCTAAGAAATGATGGTAACATATTCCTAGCAATGCATCAACAGTGTGGTGGGGATGGGAGAGTTGGAAATCAATTTTTTAGAGTGGTTCTCCATGATTCTGGTGGCTGCACACATGGAGTTCTTAAAACAGTAGAGCAGAGCCTCATATCTTCTTAAAAGCTTTGTGGTATCTTAAAACCCCAAATTCCAATTAATATGGCCTAAAATTAAAATATTAAAGACAAATTTCTTTTGTGTGTGGCCTTTATTTTTGGACCCAGAAACTCAAATTAAATCAAAATACTCCTATGACAGGTAGCATAAGATAGTATTATTCACTAATAGCTTCTTAAGGATTATATAAATTTCTTATAAATTTAAGAAAAAGATAGGAAAAAAGGCATGTATATTTTGATGTGAAAAGGTATAAGCCAGAGATTGGCTTCTTTGAAACCTTTCCCTATTTATCTTAAGGAAAGCATTATTTCTTGCACTGTTTAAATTGCATTTTGCATGTGATTATATTATAATGTCAAATATTTTATATAAAATTATAGCAATATGTTCTCATATCTGTATCTCCCATATTAGAAACATGAATACCACCACAAATTCCTAGCTCATCCCCACCCCAATTCCTAGCTCAGTTACTAGCATGTGGGACACATGCAATAGTTGCCTATTGAACTTAAATCATTACATTTATTTTTCAACTATAGGGTATTTTTTAATAATTTGAACTTATTTTTTAACAGAGAAATTAAACATTTGGAGTAAAATAATTTATCTGTTCTAAAATCAGTGAGGTAGTCTATAAATTAGTATACAGATTTCATTGTAAGGACAAATCATAATCTGTTTCGAAGATCAGGTATATGCCCAAATTTAAGTCTTCCAAGTTTATGAAGTAACAGCTTAGAAGGAAGAATATATCTGCCCTTCCTAACCACCTCTCTCTTTGCTATACTCTCTTGCCAGTCAATTTCTCTTTAGAATTAGAATTGTTACTGAGATTATAGAAATATCAAGGCCACTTTCAGTAGAGAAAACCCCATTTTATGCTGATAACAATGCCTTGGGCAATTAAGTTAAGAAGTGAGAAGGACCACTTAGGTCATAACTAGCTGTCATAAACTATATTAAATAAAATTAAAAACCAATTATAATTTTTAAATTAAATAACTGATTTTAATATAAAGGCATATTAGAATACTCCCCAAAACAATTTCTCTTAGAAGGTCAAAGTGACTAATGAATATTAGGGTATTAATTTCCAAAGCATCACTATGAGAACTTTGAAAATTAGGATTCGAAGTGAGAAATAAATGAGGAATGACTTGTCCCATGTCAGTGGTTTGATGAAAGCGAATACCTAAGTCTATATATTTTCTGCTTTAATTGCTTGAACTCTTGGTTTCCAGAAGAAATTTCCTTTTTTTTGTTCGTTTTCCTGTTTTTTATTAATTTATCTTCATTGTTGAAAGTATTACAGATATCCCTTTTTCCCCCATTGACCCTCTCCACCCCGCATCCACCCCACCCCCAAGCCTTCCCCATACCAATGTCTGTGTCCACAGGTTATGCATATAAGCATATAAGTTCCTTGATTAATATCTTCCTACCCACTCCCCCAACCTCACCTTTCCTCTGAGATTCCTCAGTCTGTTTCATGCTTCTATGTGTCTGGATCTATTTTGTTCATCAGTTTATTTTGTTTATTATATTCCACATATGAGTGAGATCATGTGGTACTTGTCTTTCTCTGACTGGCTTATTTCTCTGAGCATAATACTCTCCAGTCCCATCCATGCTGCCCCAAAGGGTAAGAGATCCTTCAAAGTATGTAAAATCTTCCAGTATAAGAGGAGTGTAGTTCTGAGCAGTCCTGATATTTTTTACAAACACAACTTCTTGGCATTTAGTATGATTGAGAGTAGAAGCAAAATGTTGGACAATTAAACATATTCTGAAATCACTGTGCCTGAATATGACACAGCATTTTCTAGTTATAACATTTATCTAATCATTTGAGAAAATTTTATGAATCATAATATGCTCTAGAAGAAGCCTATGTTAGGCACTAAGAATAATGAAAAAGTATTCAATACAAAATACAAATATATTTAAATACACAAAAGAAAGAGGAATACTAACATGCTGTGGTCTTACCCCTATTGTTCCAAAACTTTCTGGCTTTCTTCTCATCTTTTTCTTGCACAGGTGTGTCCATATCCATTTGATCAGGTACCAAAGAGACTTGGGACTCGGGATGACATTGAAGGGAGTAGGCAGGGTACCTCCTTCTTCAAAATAACTCATCCAAAGCTTTGTTCGAGCAAATTTCCATTCTATATCTGCATGGTCCTGAAGAGAAAAATATGACAGCTGCTGCTAAGTTTCTTAATTATTAAGGTTAGATAAACCTCACAGAGAGCCTGTAACCTGCCTTGTGTGGCTCTTGGAACATTAATTAAATTACTCATGAAAACACTGCTGAATCCTGGAGATAGTCATCTAAACATTTCAGAGGATGGCTTAACCTGGTAAGGAGTCACAGCTTTCTTGTCAGTTTTCATCCTTTCCTCTTCCCTGAAACAGGCATCTAAAATAATTCCATGTTATAGAGACTTCAGTGATTAGTTATACCTTGAAGATGAATCTTAATTTCCTGCATTGTAGGCTTACATTAGTTCAGTTTCATTAGATTTTGGCCACAAATAGGGCTTTATGTCTTATCCAAGCCTTTGAACCCTTGCCTATGTGAATGTCACCCTCATGGGTGCTCATGGTTTAGTCTCCTGGTATTTCCAGGAAAAATCTTACTTGATACATTTCCATGTGAATAATTAGTATTCACCTTTAGGCAACAGGCATAAAGTCAGAAAGAAGTCCTCTAATAAGTGTAGACTATAGACTCTGACACAACACTGAACCTTGACATAACCCTGGCCAAATTGCACCAAACAGGAGACTGGTGGTTGCCCACAAGCCTGAGATTATCCTTCATCATCATTTGTTAATCATTTTACTTTATTTATCTCCTGGAAAAATTTAGGAACATTTGTGACATTTAGTTAGATAGCAGCCAGTCTTCTCTTAAATTAGCCATAGACTGAATTAAGCAGAAAATTTGGGAAGTAGGAAGTGCTAGAAACTAAGCATACATATAGTTAAAGAATTCAAAATAATCATTTTATTGCATTGCTATTATAAAAAAGGACTCAGACTTTAGAGTAACATATTAGATTATGCATCATTCTAATATTCCTAAATTGCTGTGTGCTAATGAATGCATATGTTGTATATACGTTTCTACTATGAAAAATATAGATTTTAGTCTAGGCACTGGGCAAATTGTTACTTTCAATAGGAATCACTATATCTAGAAAATGCATGGCCTACATTATTGCTTAGCAAATGTGTGATTGGAGGGATCTATCAATAGATGGAAGCACAGAAGTTAGTTTTCCTTCCATTTTCTCTCCTGTTCCTCTCTAGTTTCCTCTTTTTTTCTTTCTTTCTAAACAAGCTTACAGATCCTAACTTAATGAAGAAAAATATATTTATTTGCTATAGTTATGGAAAATGGGACTCAGCAGAATCGGCTTAAGGTAATAAAGAGGTAGTCACTTAGGTAAAGTATTGGCCTGTGAGTAACTTCTGCTCCTCCTGATTCTCAGGGAGTCACAAAATAAATGTTATCTTGATCCTATTATGTGCTTTTACTATTAACACAAAGCAGATTCTCCCTTTGTTCCTGGTTTGGGATTCTGAGAGAGTATAAACAAAGTCTACAGTGGTTAGAAAAACTGGGACTGTTGATAGATATGCATTTATTTCCATTTTATTGTTCATACTTTTGATCTTCTTCTTCAAGAATACCCTTCAGTATTTCATACAATACTGGTTTGGTGCTGATGAACTCCGTTTGCTTTTTCTTGTCTGGGAAATTATTTATATATCCATCCATTCTAAATGATGGCTTTGCAGGACAGAGTAATCAAGGATAGAGAGATCCTTGCTTTTCATCACTTTGAATATTTCACGCCACTTCCTTCTGGCTTGCAAAGTTTCTTTTGACAAATCAATTGACAGTCTTATGGGAGCTGCCTTGTAGGTAGCTAATTGCTTTTCTCTTGCTGCTGTTAAGATTCTCTTTCTCTTAAACCTTTTGCATTTTAACTACAATGTGTCTTATTGTGGGCCTCTTTGTGTTCATTTTGTTTAGGACTCTCTGTGCTTCCTGGACTTATATGTCTGTTTCCTTCACCAAGTTAGGGAAATTTTCTATCATTATTTTTTCAAATAGGTTTTAAATTTCTTGCTCTCTCTCTTCTCCTCTGGCTTCCCTATAATGGGAATGTTGGTATGCTTGAAGTGCCAGTGGCAATAAATACATATCTATCAACAATTGAATCTACAAACAAAGTGAACAAGCAGAACAGAAACAGACGCATAGATGCATAGAATTTTTTGTTGGTGGCCAGATGGGAGGAGGTAGGGAGTGGGTGAAGAGATCAAGAAGTACAAATTGGTTGTTATAGAATAGTCATGGGGATGTAAAGTACAGCATAGGGAACATAGTCAATAATATTTTAATAGCTATGTGTAGTGCTGGATGGCTACAAGATTTATTGGGGTAATCACTTATTAAGTTATGTAATGTCTGGTCACTGGGGTGTACACCTGAAACTGATTTAATGATGTATGTCAACTGTAATTGAAAATAAAAAATGATTTAAAAAAATGAACTAAACTAGGTTGGTGATGACTAAAAACCACCTTTTGCTACCCATCTTCTAATTTAGTCAATATTTAAAACTTCACTTAGGTATTTCCTCTCATAGGAAGCTTGCCCCAATTGCCATTAGCCCCAACTGCCTCCCACCCTAGTATGCATGGTCCTCTCTTCTGTACTTTCATCACATTCTCAAATCCCTTTTCTCAATATTAAAATTATATATTTTGTCCCCACACTACTTTACATTTTTCTTGAGGGCAGAGACTTCATTATTCTGTGTATCCCTAAAGGGAAGCTTATGCTTGGCATATATTAGTTGCACAATAAATATTTGCTCAAAGAACAAGTGAATGAGTGAGAAGCAAGCTTTAGATATGGCTTGCCTTATTGCTTTTGCCTTTTAACTATTAAACTTTACTCTTTTTTTATGCTTTACCCTAAAACTCCGAGTTAGGACTAGTAAGACAAAAGAGAAAGCCCTCAGGGTAAATTCTGATATTTTAGGACAGGGGGAAATAAAATACTTGGCATGTTCACATTCCAAGGAGGCATCATGTGCAGGATGCTGGGAAGGACACCTGGTTCAGTTTTTGAGTGTCTGGTGTCCTCTCAAGTAGTTTTAGTGTTTGGGCTAAACAAAAATAGAGATTTGAAGCTCATTCTCATCTCTGTAAGAAGTAACACTCCACAAAGAGGCAAAAAGAAAATGTCATACTATTCTTGAATAGTGTTCTATTGATAAAATCCATACATTTAATGTTTTATAGAATCTAAATTGTATATACAGCTTCTTTGTCTATATCTTTATAATTAAAGGCTTCCTAATGTTTTGAATGGTTAGTCTGGAAAATAGAATTCACATTAGGGAAATGTGTTGACTAGAGGAATACAGAAGTTTTCAAGCAAATATATAGGGATTATCTAAACCATTTCAGATTTGTAAGATGCTTAAATGAAGTTCCACAAATTTAGCTATTCACATGTAAATCTTAGGACCTAGGTATACCTGTGTGGGATTATGTTAGATTGTGAATCAGTAAATGAAAATCTTTTATTCTTATATTTATGCAGTTTTTCACTTGTGAGAGGTTTAAGTAAAATTCAGAATGTTGCTTTTCAAAATAACAATAATACTCGAGAGTTTTAGCAATAGATTCCAAGATGCAATATAATTGTAGTTATTTATGGAGAAAATAAGCAGCCTATAATTATCCTTATAAAATGATACTTGTCTAAGGCATAAATATTAAAGACTTAAAAAACATATCTCATTCCAGTATGATGTATTTTATTACTATTGTTATTGGCCATAGACATATATCATTAACATGTAAGTTCATGGGGTTTAAAGGCTTTATCACCCTTGTTCATTGCTGTATTTCTAGTTCCTAGAACAGTACCTGGCAGCAGAGTAAATATTCAATAAGAATTTGTAGGATGAATGAATAAATAAGTTAAACTAAGAGTTTGGAGTCCAGATTCAAATAAACACATATAATATTCTATGTTCTGCTACAGAATTCAGGGTTACACCTATATTGTTTTTGCTAGGTTTTAAGAAACTGAAAATCCTCTGACATTTTCCCTCAGACTCCACTCTGAACTATCTTTTGTATCTTGCCAAGATAGCCTGAGTTTGCTTATATCAAGATTGTAGGTTAAATGGACAGAGACAATGCAAAGTCCAAAGGGCACTTAATTACAACCATAGCCAATGACAGCCTGGAAAGATAAACCTAGTTTATTTTATAATCATGTGCAATATGATAACACTAAATTAGTACACAGGTAAATACTTCTTAGAAACTTCAAAGTAACCATTTATATTATAATTCTGTCTTATCACTAGCCAATTAGAAACCTTATTTCCAATGATAACAGGATGGAGTATAGCTAGGAACAATGCACTCTAAGGGGAGATATTGAATTAAAATAAAATTATTCAACTTACAGCAATAAGTTGGTAAGAATTATTCATCATAGCTATTAACATGTTGAGTAGGACAACCAGAGAGATGACATTGTAGGTCCCAAACATGGTAGCACCAACAAACTCAGTGAATTCATGCTGTGCTTTAACATTGGTCACATATAAATTGATGAGCCCAAATATTGACCAAAACAGGGACTGGAGTGTCTCAAATAACCTGGAATAAAGATAAAATGACACTAATAGCTATATTAATAAAACCAGTATACAAGAAGATATAAGAGTAAAATTTGAATGCTGTTATGTATATATCATTAATTTAAAAATATATGTACTCTTTTGGGTATCTACCCTCAAAATTTGAAAACATTTCTTTTCAAAGATATATGTACCCTTGTGTTCATTGCAGCACTATTTACGGTGGCTAAGGCACAGAAACAACTGAAGGATCATTTGATAGATGATTGGATAAAGAAGATATGATATATATGTAATATGGAATACTACTCAGCCATAAGAAAAAATGAAATACTTCCATTTGCAACAACATGGATGGATCCTCAGAATATCATGCTAAATGAAATAAGTCAGATAGAAAATGTGAAGAACCATGTGATATAAAACTGAAAGAAACAAATGAACAAACAAGAAACACAAACAAAAATAACTCATAGACACAGACAACAGTATGGTGGTTACCAGAGGGAAGGAAGGTGAGGGGATAGTAAAGGGTAAATGGGGTCAAATATATGGTGATGGAAGAAGATTTGACTTTGGGTGGTGGGCACACAACGCAATATACAGATTATGTTTCACAGAAATGTACATTTGAAATTTTATATAATTTTATTAACAAATTTCACTCTAATAAAATTAAAAAGAAAAATAAATAAATGAATGAATGAAAAAAGGAAAAATACATGTCAATAGTAAAATAAAATTTTAATGTAATTATAAAATTAAACTTAATAAAAAGAATAAATGGTGTACTTGATTTTCCTAAGAGTTTTGAAAGCTACATTTAGTTTTCTAAGTCAGAGTTGAAAAATCTGACCCACAACCTGTTTTTGTATGACACCTGAGTTGAGAATGATTTTTGCTTTTGCAAATGGTTGGGAAAAACAGAAGGAAGAGTGGTATTTTGTGACATGTGAAATTATATGAATTCACAATTCAATGTCCATAAATAAAGTTTTATTGAAACACACCACACTCATTTATTTATGCATTGCCTATGGTTTATTTTGTTACAAAGGCAGAGATGAGTAGCTGCAGCAGAGAACATATGGCCCACAAAAGCCTAAAATATTTACTATGTGTCTTTTTCATAGAAAGTTTATCCCATCTTAGAACAATTAGCAATAGTTAACAAATAATAGAGCCTCAAGCCTACTCTTTGAAAAATGTAATTTTTTACCTGATTTTGCTTTTAGTTGTAGGAGGATTACAACTACAACTACAGTTATCAATATCGATTTCCACATTGGCAATTAAAATTGCACATAGTGAATGCTGTAAGATGGCATAGTGTCTAAAAATGCTGAGATAATAAAATTTGCTCTTTTTTTATTTCAGGAAACATTTTACTTATTCTTATCAAAGAATGAATTTGGTGATTTCATTGAAAGTTAAGTTTCTTTCATTTACTGCAAAAAATGGAGACTGTCTGAACTTAATGAAGAATTGTTTCAAGAGGACCATTGTAACACCTTAATATGCCATAAAAAGACAACAGAATTCTTCTATGCTTTGATAAATGGTTACAACAATGCTTGCTCTTAAAGTACAATTTATATTAGATATTTTACACCAGACTTCTCTAGTCATACTCTACTTGGATGGAGATTTAAATTAGTTAATAATTAATCATTTACCATGAAGTTACTAATAGGGCAAGGGGATTCCTGGGAATTTTAGGGATCATAAATTAGGATGAGATTAAGTATAACCTTGTTAGTTGCAGATGAATCAGATTTCTGAGATGAGGTTGGGATCTTGGAACCAGAGCTCTTCCCTGAATTTAAAGAAGACATGGGAGGGTACTCACTTCTACATTCTTTCTGGAATACAAAGCATGGAATCAGAAGAATATGGCAACAAACGTAGATGGCGTGGTATTGGCAAGCAGTTTGCATCACGGTATGCAGTCCAAAGTAACAAAGAAGCTGTGCAAGACAGAGCATGCATAAGGGCTCTCCATCAGAAATCTGTGAGTCCAGTAAGCAGACAGACAATATCCAGGAAGCTTGCTGGAGGTGGAATTCTAAGGGGAAGTGGTAGGATCTGACCATTGTAAACCCTTAGATGCTAGAGGCAAATACCAAGACATGGATCACAAATGAGTGGGGAAAGATAGGTTCAGGTATCAAAACTGAGATAGCAGCCCAAGAGCATGCTAGTCACAAGGATGTTGTTGCAAGGGATTCATTCAACCTGCCCTGTCCAGAGTCAGAAAAGAAGATATGGAAGACAACAAAGCTAGGTAAGGTCATCAGGTGAAGAAATGCTCTTTAAGCCCAGAAGAACAAAGAGTCTGGGAGTAAGGGATTACACTGCAAGGGGAAGCTGGAATGACTTTTTGTTTTCTTTATGATTTGTTATTTGTAGCGAATCTATTTCTGAAAAGATTTGAGGCAGCTAAGGCAGCAATTAAAATTTCATGTGCAAATACTCAGATCTTGATTAATTAAAATGGGATCAAAGATAAAATAGACACAGAATTTAATCAACAATTTTTTTAGCCATAAGTGATTTAGTTCATGTGAGGTTATTAATTTCCTTCTACTTGAGAAATTACTGTACTCTCTTATATTACATAAATTTCTATAATGGCCCATGAATAGGGTCTGACTTTTAAAAGTCATCTACAATACGGCCATGTATTCACATATGGTTACTGTGTAGATGAAAATTGCCTAACTTCTTCATTAATCTGCTAACTAACTGTTTATCAGAGTGGGAAGGAGATGGAGAGAGATATGTAGAGGTATATTCCATGAGAACTGTGTGAGCATCAAACAGTCTTATTGTAAGATATAGATGGTGATACTAGACAAGGCCTATTGTTTTTCAGGCGTAAGGGCACAGAAAGTTTTGTCTGTATAATAACAATGGACTAGGTTTGGATTATTTCTACAAGCTTAGATTTTTTGTGTGGAAAACTAGAGAATCAAAGGGACATGTGAAGGGACTGTTAACTTCTGGAAAACACTGAAAAAGGACTGAAAAGCTCTTGGATTTTCTTACAATTGCTTTTACATGTATACATTCTATCTTTTAATGTGTATGTAAGCTGTCAATAGTACACAGATTTCCATTTATTCCACATTTTTAAAAGTACATATGGATCTTGAGAATATCATACTAAATGAAATAAGTTGGTCAGAAAAAGCTAAGAACCACATGATTTCACACATATGTGAGATATACAACTAAAATTCATAGACACAGACAATAGTAAGGTGGTTATCAGAGGGAAAGGAGTTGTAGGGGTAGTAATGGGTAAAGGGGGACAAATATATAGAAACAGAAGACGATCTGACTGTGGGTTGTGGGCACACAATGCAATATACAGATCATATATCATTGAAATGTATACTTGAAACCTTTGTAATCTTATTAACCAATGTCACTCCAATACATTTAATAATAACAAACAGTATATATAGGTATCTTTTTGTGAGGTCATTTTGAAAAAAAAGTTCATTTTACGAAAACTTAGCTAAAGAACCTATATGCACAGCCCATAGACACAGACAACAATGTGGTGATGGCCAGAGGGAAGAGGGAGCAGGGGCTGGGTGCGGTGTGCAAAGGGCAGGGGAATGGGGACATCTGTAATAATGTTAACAATAAAAATAAAGTTAGAAAAAAAGGACTATTTAGTTTGAATACCATGAAGATAACCAAAGAATAAATGATAATTTTATTATTTTTCTTTCACATACTATGTAACTTCGTTTATATAAAGCACCGCAAAAAGCAAAATGAACGAATGAATCAATGAATAAATAAATAAATAAATAAATAAATAAAAAATAAATAAATAAATAAAAAATAAATAAATAAATAAAATGTAATTTTTTAAAACTGAAGGAGCCTTATATACAAAGACATGCTAATTCTGTTCTCTGCATTAAGCATAATTTTTTTTGCAACCACTTGTCAGATTTTTCAAATTCATAATGTATTACATTCTAAATTTTGCACAAAAGTCCTGATAGAAATGTTTGGACTTACGTTGAAAATGCATTATTCTGCTTTTCACATCGTATGCCTTTGCAGTTTAACCCTTTTGTTTCTTCGTAGTAGAAATACAATTGATTTAGGCCATTAGCAAATGCTAACAACACAAGGCAGTATATGAATAGAAACTTCAAAATGTCCAGGAGCATTCTTCCCAGAGATATCTGCAGAGGCCCCAGGTGAGAATTTGCAGTAAAGAGTGAGATCAGGCGTAAGGAACTGAAGATGTTTGCAATCGCAAATAAAGCTTCAGCCACCAGAGTAGGATGCCACATGTCCCAAGATTCTCGAGGATTAAGAGCACTGTACTGAAGAAAAGAAAGAAACAAAGGGAAAGTAAAACAAACACAAACATATGAATATGCCAAGTTCAGGCCAGGATGCTTTTTCAGGTAGGTCTAGCACAATGACCTATCCTCAGGAAGCTAATGTACTTCACAACAATGGCAGCAATACTAATCTGCAAAAAATTAAAAAAAATTGTCAATTTATAATTATAAACTTCAAAGTGCCTTTCTCATTTGTCCTTGACATTTGTAGTATTTGTTAATATGTTAATTATATCTGCTTTTGCCTTTCCAAAGGAATTTCAAAAAAAGAAGTGTTACATAGGGAGGAAAAATCTGACTTTATATTCAGAAAATATAGCAATATTATTATAACAAAGAAAAATACATTATAAATGAAACACGCTAAATTTTTAACAAAATAATCAATGACTACTTACCACATTTGACATACTTGGTTATTCTCGAGGAATGCACACATGATACAAATTATATATAAATAGTGAAAGTAGTGTTCTGTTGCCTTGTAACTACCAATATAGGCATAACAGTTAGTACTTTGTATCTGTTATATTTTAAATGTAGTTTATCACCACCAAACCATTATTACATGAAATGTTGAAGGGTCTTCTTTAAGAAGAAGCTAATGAACAACAGAATCTGACAAACTAAAGAGATCCAAAGACATGGAAGCATGCAACAGACAGTCATGTCTCAGAGGGAAGAAGGAAGGGAGGTGGAGGGTGGGAAGAGATTAAGCAAAGAAGTTATATGCGTATATGCATAACCCATGGACACAGGCAATAATGGGGTGAAGGCCTGGGGAAGGGGGGAAGGCCTGGAGAGGGGGTGAGAGCGAGGTGGAGGAGGTCAATGGGGGGAAAAATGGGATACCTGTAATACTTTCAACAATAAAGATAAATTTAAAAAAAAATTGAAACAGAAAAATAAATAAATAAATGTAGATAAAACCTAACTTGGAAATCATCCTGGGTGTCAATGAATGGGTAATTTTTTATATTTAATGTGTAGATAATGTGATATTTATCAGAACATGTCTTAACTATATAACACATGATTTGAGGAAAAATATTTGCTACATTAAAGTTTGACCAACAATTATTTTAAAAGTGTTAAATGTCAGCTTTGAATTATCTTCATATTGAGCTATATAAGAGCACAATAAAATGTATTCCTTATAGTATCAAAGAAATTTATTCCCTTTAAAAAAAGTCAAATATGCTCTTTGAAATATTGCATTATGAAAACCTATAATTATATCTGTATAAGAAGTGAACAATAAATTGAATTTTCTTCTTCATACATGTCACTAATAAATATGGCTAGGCAATTGCATATTTTTCCTGTCAAAATAAACTTTTTACTTCTGTATGAGTTCCATCAGAATATTTTTCTCTTTTTATTGTATTTCATACCAGTGACTTTACAAACGTTAATTCTCTTGAAAATAACAGATAGTATTTTTTAGTCTCCCTGGGGGAAAAATACATCACAAGTGACTGATTTTGTTCAACAAGCAGACTTTTGCTTGGGTGACAGTTTAAAACAATTGAGTTTGCCACAGAAGCTGTACCAATTTGCATTCCCATCAACAGTGCACGAGGGTTCCCTTTTGTCTACATTCTCACCAACATTGGTTGTTTGTTCATTTATTGATGATAGTAGTTTCCTCAAAAAATTAAAATTGGAACTGCTTTATGACCTAGTGATTCCACTTGTGGGAAAATATACAAAAAAAAAAACCCAAACACTGATTAAAAAGCATATATGCATCTATAGGTTCAATGCAACATTATTTACAAGAGCCAAGATTTGGAAGCAGTCCAAATGCCCATCAATAGATGAATGGATAAAAAAGCTGCAGTACATTTAAACAATGAAATATTATTCCCCCCTTGGCCATAGAAAAGAAGGAATTCTTACCATTTGTGACAGCGTGGATGGATTTGGAGAGTATAATGCTAAGTGAAACAAGCCAGTCAGAGAAAGACAAGTACCACATGATTTCACTTATATGTGGAATCAAATGAAAAAAAATAAACTAACAAAATAGAAACAGGCTCATAGATACAGTGAATAGACTGGCAGCTATCAGAGGTGAGCGTGGTTGTGATAGGGGAAGGGTATGTAATAGAAATAGAATCATAGTTGTTTAATAGCTACTCATGGTACAGAGAGATTTTCTTACAGATTCTGGAAAACTGTGTTACAAGAAGGAGAATAGGCCCTGGAGATAAGGCAGTCAGAGCCCAAGTCATGGACAGAACCTATCTGAAGGGAGACAGCATTCCATGCTAATCTTTGCAAGAACAATGGAAAAAGGCAGGTTCTAAGAACTCACTAACTTTAGATTTTTCCCCCCACCCACTCTATATAAGAGTTTGTTTAAAATGAAATGCCAAGGAGTAGGTCTCCCCCTCCCGGGAATTATCCCTGCTGCTCACTCCATATTGTTGGCAATATGAAATAAATGTTTATAAATTATCCAATCTTGTGTTTGTTTATTGGCTCAGTAGTGACAGGCAGTGATGGACTTGATTTTGGGGCTCAGTTTCAAATTCTGTGTCCATGGCAGGACTGAAAAGCTGGACCTTTCCCTGGGTATTACAGAGATCCTGCTGACTGCCTGGACTGTGGGCTCACAGGGCTGAAATCAGGGCTCTTTTTCTTACTTGCAGTGCTGCCAGGGATTTTCCTGTTGAGTTCCACTTTCAGTTCCAGCAATTCCCATTGTTTCACTTAAATTGAATTGAGTGTTTCTTTGTGCGGATATGGGAAGTATCTGTTGTCTCCTGTCTGGGTTGAGCCTGATCAGCCCCAGGGTGCAAGAGAAACTCCCACAGTCCTTGCTCAGTCTCTGAACCTGACCGGTTCTGGGTTGAGATATTACTCTGTTAATCAGTTGGTTTCCTAACACAGGGCATTCTGATTCTGTGGCTATCCAGATAAGAGGGTACGGTAAGCCATAAAGCCCTTTTCTGTCTGTTGTGCACACTTGTAAATATTCTATATGAGTTTCTCTATAGATTATTGCTTTGCGCCTCTTTGTTGCTTGATTTGTTTAAAGATGGGGGCATATACCACTTAGCTTGGGGCACCAGCTGCTTGTGGCAGGCTCACCTGTGTCAGCGATTACAGGAACTTCCCAACAGCTGCTGAGAGTTGTCTGGGGACTCTCCCTGCTCTCCATATCAAGGCATCCATTGCCTGAAACACTTAGCCGGTGAAAGGAAACAAGTCTCTGGGGAGCCGACAGACTCCAAGTTTGACTGGGTAAGTCAAACTGGTGTGTATGCTGGGAGTTCTCTATCACTTCCATCTGGGCTTTTTAGCCATCTGAGACTTGACAGTAAGTAATCTGTGGTACTGTTTTGGCAGGGGATAAAACTCTGTGATGTTAATCCCAGTTCTTCCACAAGAGGAAGTCACTCTCAGTCCGAGAACTCTTATTTGTATGTTGTGTTCTGTTTAGTCTAAGAGCTCTCTGAGAGCTCTTATCTGTCAAGTGAAACTTTGATTACAGATATTCTTTACTTGCTTTCTTATCTTTTGGGGACTTGGTTTGCTCTTTTCTGTTTTATGAACAAAGGGAATTCCCTGTCTCAGTCATTTGGGCTTTGTGACATTTAGACCCTGTGAAGGTTATTTGCTGTACCAGTTGGTGTGAAATAAGATTCTAAGGCTAGTGTCCCAGTTCCTCCTTTTGAGAGTACTTGTTTGTTTGTTTTAGGTGTTGTTTTTGTTTGTTTTGAAATGGGATAAGATCTCTTATGTACAAGCTTTCATGTTGTTTCATCATAATAATTTCACTCAGAAAGAAAAATATGGGAAAGCAAATCTTATAAACACACCAAATTCTTCTCCTGGAGGTCCAGAGCTGCAGAGGTGTCCTTACACAGGTTGCACAAGCTGGGGGTGAGGAGGAACTCCCCACTTGTAAAGGAAAAAAATGATACTTTTACACTAAAGCCCCTGGAGGCCCAGGAATTGCTGCAGTCCTGGTAAAAAGCCATAAGGCCTGATATCTCCCTTCCTCGACTGCTTTTCATCCAGCTTCCTAAGGATTGTCAAGGTTATGTTATCTCTGTTATGCCTCTTAAAAATGTAAATTTATTTTCCAATGGAAAAAAGCCTGTTTCTGAAAGTTATGAAATGTTTTCATAAATTTACCAAACTAAAGAATGCTGATTGCTTGCTTTTAGTTTTCACTAAAAATTAAGTTTTCTAAAAATTGAGAGAGGAAAAAAAGGTGAAAAGGAATACTCAAGAAGGTAATAGAAAAGGGAAACATTTTTCTTGTATCTGCCTAGAAAGCAAAGGGTCTATACATTACTGAAATAGTTATATGATATGTTATGATAATCAAGTATTTGATTACTTAAAAAAACCATCTTCTTAATCATAGGAACTGAAGTTTTGCTAGCCTGTGTTTGTGTTTAACACCTTTTGTTGTCACTTTGGAGGAATATTTAATATTATTTCATAATGATATATGATTTTTGGTCCCATATGTTTGACAATGTTCCCAGGGATTGGATCTGAAGAGACTTCGTTGACCTAGAATTAACTTTGGATCATTCCAATGTGCCCCTGGAATGCCTCAAAGATTTGTTTTGTCTCCTTATGAGGGAAAATTTTATACTGAAGGTACATGGAAAGATTTGTCAAATAAATAACTATATTAAAATAGATATTCTAGAGATTATATAAAAATTTCTAAGAGCCTACAAAATTCTGATATGCTCTTATTTATAACTTTGATTGTTATTCTGAAATGCTGTGTCTTGCAGAAAGGGCAGGGTTCCATGTGAATCACATTATAATCAAATCCATAACCATGTTATTTTAAGTTTTTTTGTTACTTAGAGACAGTCACTATTTGATTATAATACATTTTCAAAAATGTTACATCTTCTGAGAAATACATGGAAAGGACTCTGACTTATTTTGAATGGCATACCTCTGAGAATAAATTTTCAGATCATCCCCTTGAATTGGAT